TAGCCGGACACATTATTACCAGCAATTTGGCACTCGTTGCTAACAACCGACTCCGGGATGTTATTTTTTGTGGAAGGGTAATAAATTCAGAATAGGTAGAACTAGAATCCTTCAGAATGTGCTTAAAGACTTCAGTACTAACTTAGGCAGTTTTCTGGAGAAGTTTGCCCATGACAAAGGCATTTGCCTTTCCTGTTTCTACAGTTCCACACAACGGGTTCTCATGCTCCTCCGACGGCGTAGTGCATGAATTGGTTTGGACCTGGGACGCAAGTCACTCAAGCTGTAAGCGGGGTCACAACGATTGGCAAGGCCCCCAACAACTACATCATTACCTGCAAGAAATTTTATGCAATGTTACGCTGCACTGAGTTAGGCTTGACGGACAAAGGGGAAGTTTTGGGCAATAAAGTTCATAGTCCTGTAACTGCAGTTCTCCAGCAGGTCCTTGGCATGCGTGCTGGTATTTGCTGCCGCTTCCAAATAACTCCCGTTGCACCCAGTGATTTCATCCCAAAGATTTATGCCATTCCCAAGCTGCATAAAGACCCTTACGATTATAGGTTCATAGTTACAGCTAACAAGTCCTCACTAAGAGTGTTTTCTATTATGCTACATCAAATCCTCGTGCATCCCAGAACACACTTCCAAAATTACTGCAATAAGACCCCTCAAAGCAGAGGCGATAGACTGTACTTAGTGTGGCAAATTAGCAAACAGTTCTATACAAACTTGATGCTTTCGCATTAGAAATTAGTCACCTTTACTCTGCGGACTTCAGCAATTTCTTTACTGCCTTACCACCTATGGAGATTGTCAACAGTATGCATTATCTGATAGACCTGTGTTCTTTAATGCATATAAGGAATACATGATCGTTAGGTACAGACCATTATGGTTCACTAATGAAATTCGTACTGATTTGGCCTGCTACATTAAATACAAACTTAAGGCGATCATGCGTATCGTTCTTTCGAAAGCCTGCATTAGGTTTGGTGGATATCTGTTTAGACAGATATAGGGTGTCCACATGAGCGGAAACGCTGGCCTTGATATCGTGGATTTCACTGTCCGTGATGGAATTCCGTTATATTCGCGGATATCCCAATGTAGAATTGACCTTGTTTCTTCAGTTACATCATGATATTCCGCACTGATGATCAATCGCTCGGATTCCTCAAACCTCGTCAAAGATTTTCCAGACCTTGTCAAAGACACTTCTGCCCTTACACTTAAGACTGCTTATTCTGGACAGGATGGCTGTTTTCTTGACCCGGCAATCAGCTGCGTAAGCGGATGTCGAGTGTTTAATATTTATATTAAAACTCTGGATTATCCCTTTTCCCTAAACCAAGCCAGCCATCCCGACAGTGATGTTGATCCCACCATACGTGATGGAATAATTATGTCCCAG